CCTCCTCCTCCGACGACCGCGCCTGCGACTCCTCCTCCAGCGCTTGCGGCCCCTGCTCGTCCTCCTCCGGCGGCCGCGCCTTGTACTCCTCCTCCCCCCACGCTGTGAGTGGGCCGGATTCCGAGGTTGCGAGATATTCACCGGGGAGGAACTCGAACGGGCGGTGGAGGAATTTCGATGTTGTCGTCGTCGGCCTGCAGCATGCCCGCGTACATAGCCATTTCCGGCCATCTGTCGCTGTCGTTGAGGTCGAGCGACTCGAACCGCACCCGGGAGGTGTTGCCGCTAGAGGAATCAGGCGGGGGATGCGCCGCGTCAGCGCCGACCGCGCCCCCTTGGCGTGCGCACCAAGGCCCGGACGCAAGGAAGTCCTTGGTGCAGCCGTCGTGGCCGTACACGTCGTCGTCGTGGCCGTTGCCGCCTTCGTCGCCATTGTAGCCACCCCCGTAGCTGGCCATTGCGGGAATGAAGGCGGATCTGGGTGCCAACGGTGAATCGGAAGGGTGGGCGGCGGCGGTTGGAGGGATGACGTGTGTCGGCGGGGGAGGGACGACCACACAAGCGGTGGAAGAATTGGAGCTGGGCGGCAGCGGTGTGAGAGACGACGGGTGGCTCCGCTATGAGCGACGAACGCCGAAGCAGCAGAACCTGCTGGATCTGGGCGGCAGGGGTCTCACGGACGGCGAGCGGCGGCTGGCTGTTTTAGGGAGGGCGAGAGGCGGCTGAGAGAGGGAGGGCGAGCGTAGGGGAGGAGGGGGTCGATTTGGGAGGGGGCGGTGTCAGGGATGGCATGCGGCGGCAGTGGGACGAACGAAGGGGCAAGCGGCTACGTTGGGGATTTTGGTGGAGCGACGAGGAGCAGGGTGAGGGGTACTACTCGTCCATGGGTGAACAGTTACTGCACATCTGCCAAAAAATTTTGCCCCTCGTTTAGTTCACAAAACGCAAAAAGTGGCCCTATGCCAAAATTTTTTGGCCCATCCCAAAAGATTTCGCCATCTAAACCGGGCCTTAAACCACCACCTTCTGAGGGGGAAGAAAACAAAAAGGGAGCAAAATCTTCCAATAGTTAGCACAGTGCAACAAAAAGGCCGCAGACCAAAATAACAAAGTCACAACTGCCATCCAGCTAGGCTGATTTGCTCTGGTCCATCCAGCGAGCTAACATTATATACCATCATGAACCCACGAAGAATATGCAAATATATAATGTTATATAATTATTGCTCATTTATTTTGAGCTTTGATTTGACCACCCATCATCAAGAGAGAACAAAGAAATGCTCAAACTAATTAAAGATGTGTCTGAAATCAAGAAGAAGAAGGCACTGACTCTCCGCTAGCTTAACTCGCTGAATTAGCGGCCTTTGATCCATTTGTTAGCCATCCAAATAATGATTTAGGGTGTGTTTAGTTCCACACTAAAATTAGAAGTTTGACTAAAATTAAAAGTTTAAAAAAAAGTTGAAAGTTTATGTGTGTAGAAAACTTTTGATGTGATGGAGAAGTTGGAAGTTCGAAGAAAAGGTTGGGAACTAAACAAGGGCCTAGCTAGTTGTGACTTGTGAGCTAGCTTCCTGACTATGGCTCCATCGGATGGTCTAATAAGCCAAAGAAAAAGCCAAATTTTAAATTTTCAAACTTAATTTTAAGAATGATTTTGAGATATTTTCAACGTAGTTTTTTTTTTCAGTATTGGCTTTTAAGTCACTAAGAACATATATATATAAAAGTTTTACCTATAAATTTATTTTTATTCCCTTGGCTTATTAGGGAAAAAGCCAAACAATGGGGCCTTATACTTAACTAAAATCATCATCCCCGAAAAAAAAAGAAAAAAATCATCTTTACACGTGTATGGCTTCTGATGCAAATAGTGTCGTGGACTTGGTGTCTAGAGTCTACGATGTTAGCTAGTTTCAGGTTCTCTGCAACCCGTGAAGTTTTATGCAATTCTAGCTAGCCGGACAATACAATCATGATCATAATTAGATTCTGGTTTATTAACAACTTGGAGCTAAAAAAATCTAAGTCACTACGTTCCCCTTCCAATAATCCAGTTCTAATCATTTGATATCTGCAGGGAAAAGAAAGCATGAGAACATGAGATCATCGAACAGCCTGGTGTTACAATCATCAGAAAAAGCGCAGATCTGAATATTTAGGACTGTCAAGTGTTGGAGCTGCTGCTGCTGCTGCAAACAGAAAATAAGTTAATATTGGTGGTTAATTATATATTTGGGACTCATTTGTTTATATGACTGCTTAATTAGCAAAGAAAGCGCAATATCATCACAGCCTTCCTAGCCTTGAGATGACTTTGTCATCTATTCTCTCCGTTTCTAAATATTTGACGCTGTTGACTTTTGTAAACATGTTTGACCGTTCGTTTTATTTAATTTTTTTTATGAAATATGTAAAACTATACGTATACATAAAAGTATATTTAACAATGAATCAAATGATAGGAAAAGAATTATAATTACTTAAATTTTTTGAAAAAGGCAAACGGTTATACATATGTAAAAAAGTCAACGGCGTCAAATATTTAGGGACAGAGGAGGTACTCCATATTGAACATTGTTAATTCTTCCAAAGTAGCTAGAGTAATGATTTCATTGTATATAATTTGAGAAGATTGCGTTTGTGGACGGAGGAGAACTTAGAGCATGTACAATAGCAGGCTAGAAGCCAACATATTTTAAAGAGATAAAGGAAGAGAGAGAAGAGCAGCGGGCTACAGATCTGTAGCCAGCTGCAACACAGATTTCAAGACGTAACGTGTGTATAATAGGTGAAACTAGGTATTAATAGTATAGTAAGCAACTATTGTATGAATTGGCTATTACATTGGCTATAGATGGTTTGAAACTAGTAGTGGGCTATACTATTAAACTTGCTCTTATATATAATTGCAGTCTTTATTAGCCATTGCATGAATCCCATCATATGAAACTATCTTCCTTTTCACTAGATAAAAGTGTCATTCTTTTTTCTCTGAAAACTAGAGAGCAAAGTACTTTGCTTTCAGGGCAATGTTTCTTTTTTTCTTGAAAGGAATCGCTCAGGGCAAAGAAAGATACTTCCTGTGAAATCTATGCCATATTCTTATAAAATTTCTTATGAAATTAAGGTGTTTAATTAATTATCCACAGTGCATGATCAGATTTGTCGTCTGAAAATTTCCTTAGAACACGGTCGCATATATATGCTGGCTGTCACCTGCAGGGATTGAGAGATTTTTCCGGGACTAATCCGATCGAACTGCCCAACAAATCCAAATCATACATAGCTGTCGCCATCCAGGTGTACTCCGTAACCTGGAAGCTAGTAATCTTTTATCTTCCTTGCACGCCACCTGCATAAAAAATTTAGTAGTACAAAAGTTAATTACTTTTCTTCCTTTATTGCATCGTATGTACATTCATCGAACTCCTATATAGCATCACCAAAGTGTCGACAAACTGAATTACAGATTATATCTGTACTCCTTTAAAAAGACTCAAATGATGGTGGCAGTGAATCTGCCACCCCACATACTCTCATTACAATTTTTACATATTACCCCTTAAACTTCTTAATATTACATAAAAATTAAATTTGGATGGATAGCAACATATAAAATTAATGTGGACATTTTCCTATAGGGAAAATGCGGATAACATATTATAGGGAAAATGTGCATAACACTTTTCACGGAAAATATGATTTATTAATTTTAGAAAAAAATGCTATATAAATGATGGTGGCAATGAATCTACCACCCCACATACTCTCATTACAATTTTTACATATTACCCCTTAAAAACTTCTTAATATTACATAAAAATTAAATTTGGATGGATAGCAACATATAAAATTAATGTGGACATTTTCCTATAGGGAAAATGCGGATAACATATTATAGGGAAAATGTGCATAACACTTTTCACGGAAAATATGATTTATTAATTTTAGAAAAAAATGCTATATAAATGATGGTGGCAATGAATCTACCACCCCACATACTCTCATTACAATTTTTACATATTACCCCTTAAAAACTTCTTAATATTACATAAAAATTAAATTTGGATGGATAGCAACATATAAAATTAATGTGGACATTTTCCTATAGGGAAAATGCGGATAACATATTATAGGGAAAATGTGCATAACACATTTCACGAAAAATATGATTTATTAATTTTAGAAAAAATGATATATTTTTCCTTTTATCTATTGGTCAATTGAACCGTCGTACCCTGTTACATATACTTTCTTGTTGTCACTATAGCTGTCATGCCCATATGTATTTGTCTTTTAGTTGATCCAACTCATCATTGTGGTGCATACGGTGAAACCCGTGAAACCGCTACCCTATTGGTGCCTTGAGTTGCCATCTTTGAATGCGTGATGTTGCCCTATTAGTGGCTTGTGTTACTGTGTGTCCCTTTATCGGTGTTGTAGTGATCAATTTAGTTCCGCTAGAACATGTGATGTTGTCTCTAATCAACTTAGATATCAGCAGTATTTCCTATGATTGATTCGATTATCAACTATGTTACTTTCTGATTGTTATCAGGTCAATCCATTAGCCAACGGTACCATTACATGCACGCATGCATGCTTCCGTTACAACATCTATTATTTTGTTGTCACTATAGCTATCATATCCATATGCGTAACCTTTTAGTTGTCCAACCATCAGAAACTAGTACCATGCCCGTGCTAACGCTACGGTGATGGTAAATGTTTATGGTAATCACATAATAAAAAGTGAATATGTTATTCTAGTATATAATTTTACTGAAATACATATCACTCCCAAAAGATGATATAGATGTCTCATATCCTTCTTTTTTCATTGACAATATTTACAGCTGTAAAGGCATTTAACTCAAAATAATATGAGAACATTGAAAAGCATTTGCATTGCTTTCCAACACAAAAACACCAAATCACATAGATATTAGGATGTTTGTTCTCATTAATCGATCCTGCTGATGCATCTATAAATGTAGAAAAATGTTTTAATTGTGCTCTATATATAAACGAAGAATTCCTGTGCTTGTGCACATTGTTATAACAAGCAAACATGGCAACCCCTCATACTACAAAAGAAAACAACACATTTTCAGAGAAACAACAGGTCTAGATCAAAAATAGTTCAGCAGTAGGGAGTCAGCAGCTCCATCTCATGAACCATTTGAAGTTCCTCATGTCCCCCGTACTGCAAAAGAGTTCCCTCCATGAAATTCTGCCAAAGTGTCAGCGGCAAATTTTATCATATAAAAGCATAAGAAATGGACACATGGGCATACAACAAAGGAGTTGCCCCATTTATTTTTTCAATAGTATCAAATGGCCCATGAACTACCATTTAGACATCAATAATTAATAGATGGACTACAGAAAACATGATCTAGTTTAAGACCAGCTGATTCAGTTCAAGATAACAGACAGATGCGGCAAAATTCCAGCGAGGACTATTGGGCAAAATGAAAATCAGTACTGCCACAAATTCTTGAACCGCATATCAAAACACATCTAAAAATTTGAAAGCTCCAGAAATCTATCACCAACTTATTTACATTAAAAAGCGTTTCATCAGGCAGCCTGGTTTCATGGGTTTTGAGATCTCAGGAAGAGGGATGCCAACTCCCTTCCACAAAAGGTTAATTCTATTATAATATTGTTCTTAATCACATGAGACTAATCACACAAATATACAATGTGTACATCTTCAAACTAATTTGCTGATTTGCAAGCAACATAATGGAAGAGGAATTAGTGTATACTTTGGTTTGATTTGCAAGCAATATAATAGAAGAGCAATTAGTGTATACCTTGGTATGCACTGCGTCCGGGCACAAGAATGGCACCAATCGCAACAACAGCCACAGGAGCCACTGAAGAGAGTTCATGGTGACATGGTGCCAGAACTCAGCACGATTGTCATGGAACCGATAAGGGAAGTGCCACTGTTCACCACCATTAAGATGAGTTTGGAGATGAGTCATATGGCATGAATTTGCATAGTCATAGCACTATATAACATGAATTCAGGTTGTTGAAAGGTGTATAGTGGTTCCCTATCCTCCATGTAGACGCACTGAACTTCTATAAAACAACAAATGCCCACAAGCTTGTTCATCAAACTGGAAGAAATAACCAATACAGAATATGCAAGTGGTCAAGCATGATTAACAAATTATATTAAATGAGCAAAAGAACCATAATTTCTGGGTCCAAAGCAAATGAACCAAAGCAAGTTGATCAAATTCTCCCTTCAACCCTTCCTCAATCCTTCACTTGAACTCTGATTCACCAGAGTGAGCCCTTCACAGTCCTGCATATAATTTGTGGTCAGCATAACATTTTCTCTTTTAGGATAAGCCCATGAAAAGTAAATCTGATGAATTATCTCAGATTAAACTTTTTGAAAATTACTATATTATAAACCACTGGCATTCTAACATCCACAATTGCACTGAAAATGGAATAAATTGATAAAAGGAAGCATCACCTGACAATAAGAAATGGTCAATATTTGAATATAAATAACCAGCAAATGACTAAATTGTTTAGTCAGCTTATCAGTGTAGGAATCAAAATGTTACTTCGAAAAAACTAATAATTTGCAATGGTGTTCAAACTTAACTGTCGAATATGCACATCGTACCATGATCTTATTCGTGCACACCTGCCATTGCACGCCCAGTGCCATCTGCCACTGCTTCCGTTGATTGATCTGCATATATCATGTATTGCTTTGGCATTCAGATATTTCTTTGGCTAAATATATAAATCACAAGCAGTACATGGTTCATGTATGCAAAGCTTCATACTAATAACACACAAGCAGTAGAGGGTTCACAGGTCGGGTCACCTCTGAACGACTGAATGTGTCAAGGCCGAGGTTGATGTGCTGATTTGGTTCACAACCGCCTCGACCATAAGCACATCGCAACAGTTTGCGTATGGGAAGCAGCTGTTCAGACTGATCTGGTAAAGGAGGATTAGCAGATATGTCTCAGTACATTAGCAGAAAAGTGTGAATAGCACAATCAACATTGGTCACCCAGGAAAACGGTTCATTAATCAAACTGATGAAAAAAATTGATAGCATCAAAATCTACTCTGCAATATGTTACAGTATCCGAGACTACAGGAGAAATCTTCTTTACCTTTACTGGAGGGGAGGACCATCAGCGGTCGGCGTGAGGACCAGCGGATGGCAGGGGGCGGGGGTGGTGATCGCAGGTGACGGTGAGGGATCGTCGGCGACGGCGCAACGGAAACCGTCCGGCGGCGTACCAAGGGAGGAGGGATCGCGGGTGACGACGACGGCGGAGGGGCGGGATGCGGCGCCGAGAGCAATGGGGCCGTCGCTGTTCAGCTGTTCTGGCGAGGTGAGTCGACGGCGTCGACGAGTTGAGGCGACGGCTGGAGAGAGGGCGGGGAGAGAGGGAGCGATGGGAGAGAAGGAGCGGAGCGGAGCGGAGATTGCGCGTGAGAGGAGAGAGAGAGAGAGGGGCGATCCGTATCGCTGGAGAGAGAGTACGCGGGAGGTGGGAGTAACGTGGTGCGTTGGATTTGATTGGGGCAATCCTGACCGATCAATGAGGAATGAGGATGTAACACACCGTTGGTGAATTATAGGGTAGATACTGAACACTTTTTAAGCTACTGTAGTGTAGAAGAATGGATTTTTGTAACATCAACAGCTTTGTATTTTTATTCTATTGTCAGCATTTGTCCGTAGCAACCCTGCACCGTACCTCGCACCGGACACTTTCTCCGGGTCCATCGCCTCCATGATCCGCCATTACCGAATATAGGAAATTTTAGTGAAAGTTATGAACTAGTGAATCCTTTGATAACATGTAACATAATGTTTGCAGGATAACCTATTTCAAAATAGCGAACAATTCTTTTAGCCTACGACATCGTAGAGGAATGAATTGTTGTAACGACAACCACACACCGTAACTTGCACCAGACACTCCATAAAATAAATGTAACGACAACCACACGCCGTAACTCGCACCAGATACTCCGCCACCTCCATGATCCGCCATCGCTAAATATAGAAAATTGCATTTTTTTTTCAACTATAGAATAGCAAACCAAATCTATGCAATGGTTGAAGGAATCGGATCTATATGTAACGGTTGAAGGAAGGATGCTTACCTTGTTGGCGTGCGGGATCAGTGACCTGCGGGTGCGAGGGGTCCCGGTGGCTGGTGGCGGCGTGATGGAAAGATGAGGGATTAGCGATGACCTGATGGTGGCATGGTGGCTCGACGGATCGATGACGACCTGATGGCACCATAGTGGAGAGGGATCCGGTCAATCCGCAGAGGATCGACGATGAACTCACAATGGGCGATTGGTGGCAAGCGCGATGGCCGGTGGTTGCGCGGTGGAGGAGTGCCCGGATTCACCTAGGAGGGGATCCGACTCATGATGCTCCAAGGCGACTATGGCGATGAGGCAGGGTGTCGCAACGTCGATGTGGCAAGGGCACAGGGCGAGGTGGCGGCGGCGGTGACTGGTTGAGGCAGCGCGGTTAGGGTTAGCGAGGGAGCGCGTGAATGAGGGGAGCAGGGAGGGCGCAACCGAGGTGAGGGGTGCGGAAGGGAGAGGGGAGGTGGGAGGTGGAACCGATCATGAGCATTGGATTTCACACGGATAATCTGAACCGTTGAGTGATGAATGAAAGAATGAGTGATGAGTGAAAGTATTTGTTGAACTATAGGGTAGATATGTTGATTTGTGCTGTTGTATGTAATCAACTTAATTAGATGCCAAATGTACCTTGTACGATTGTTTCCGTTATCAACTATGTCGTTTTCCGATTGTCATCCGGTCAACCCATTGGGCAACGGTACCGTTATATGCCTGTGCTTCTGTTACTGTATCTAGTATTTTTGTCATCGCCATAGCTATTATGTCCATATGTATAGCCCTTTTAGTTACCCCACTTCACTAGAGTTACTCAACTACCGACCAACAGAAATAGCGAACAATTCTTTTAGCCTATGGCATCGCAAAAGAATGGATTGTTGTAACGACAACCACACGCCTTACCTCGTACTAGACACTCGTAAAAGGAAAAAAAGTACGAATTACCCCCCCAACTATTATGGTCATCCGAATTACCCCCTGAATCACAAAACCAGACATTCTTCACCCCAACTATGTAAACCGGATGAATTACCCTCCTCGACCCAATCCACGGTGGTTTTGGTCTACGTGGCGTACACGTGGCAGTACAGTCAGCATTCTATTTATTAAAAAATGTGGGACCCACATGTCGTATCCTCTTCCACTATTCCTCTCTCTTCCTGTCTCTTCTCTCTCTCACCCTGTCTCTTCCCCTCTCTCTCTCACACGCGCACGGCAGCAGGCGGGGCGGCGGCGGAGCGCATGCACGCGGACGGGGCCGGAGGTTGTGGCGAGGATGGCGGCGTGGCCGAGACGCACACGGCGGCGAGGACGGCGGCATGCACAGCGCGGCGGGGCGTGGCGCGAGGAGGCGACGCGACGGCGGCAGCACGCGGGCACGCGAGCGTGGGGTGACGGCGCGCGGACGGGGCTCGAGGTGCCGCCGCCGCCGCCGCCGCCGCCGCCGCCCTGCTTGTGCTTGTACACCCGCTTGAGGAGGTAGAGCGTGCCGCGCGGTGCTCCGGCGAGGTAGCAGCACTCGCTGGCGCGGTCGCGGTGGTCGTGTTCGTATTCCCGAGACATGATGATGGCATTGCCATTGCCGTCCGCCTTGACGACGTAGTGGTAGGGCGAGTCAATGACCAGCACCGACTCAAGAATCTTCGGCGACCTGCAGACATTGCAGTTGAACTTCCAGCGCGCGACCTTGCCGGAGAGGTGCACCGTATAGAGCTTGCCATCCCCGTGCCTCGCCATGTCGACGATTCTGTCCAGCTTGTTGTTGATGAGACGCCATGAGCGCTCGCCCGTGCGGGCTATGGCGAACTCCCTCTCCCTCCTGTACAGGACGGCAACGGTGGCGCCGCCGTTGCTGATGTCGACGACGACGGCCATGAGCAGGATGAGGTCGCAGAGGCCGTCAAACGAGAACGCCACGCCCGGCCCGCCGCGAGCGACGACGACAGGCGACGTGACGGCATGCGGCGGCACGGGGCGCGAAGAGGCGCGGCAGCGGCGATGGCGTGGATGGGGCGGCGCGTCGAGGAGGACGAGCGCGCGGGCCAGAGGGAGGTCGAGGCCTTGAGCCTGCGGCCGCGTGCGTGCCGCCATGCGCACCGCGGCGCCGTGCGTGCTGCTGTCCTCGCCGCCGCCTCCGGCCCTGTCCGCGTGCGTGCGCGCCGCTGCCGCCTGCTGCTGTGCGCGTGAGAGAGAGGGGGGAAGAGACAGAGAGTGAGAGAGAGAAGAGAGAGAGGAATAGTGGAAGAGGATATGATATGTGGGTTCCACATTTTTTAATAAATAGAACGCTGACTGGACTGCCATGTATATGTCACGTAGACCAAAAGCACCGTGGATTTAGGTCGATGGGGGGGGGGTAATTCGTCCGGTTTATATAGTTTGGGGTGAAGAATGTCTAGTTTTATGGTTCAGGGGGGTAATTCGAATGACCGCAATAGTTCGAGAGAAAGGGGGGTAATTCGTAATTTTTCCCTCCGTAAAATAAATGTAACGATAACCACACGCCGTAATTCGCACAAGACACTCCCCCACCTCCATGATCCTCCATCGCTGATTATAGAAAGTTTTAGCGGAAGTTATGAACTAGCGAGCCCTTGACAACCTGTAAACATAACGTTTGCAAAACAACAGGAGAGAAAAGGAATATTAATCTTGACAGCGGATAAATAATTAGCAAAAGAAAAGAGAGAGAGGGGATGAAGGTTAAAAATGGGAGTGATTTGGCATCCAGAAGGATGACAGCAAGGACAGGGGAGGATGCAGATCATATATCATCATCATCAAGTGCAAAAGGGGTGGAGCTGCTAGCTGTTGATGGATCGATGATCCATCAAAACCCACCATCAAAAGCCCGAAGTAACGACGAGGAAAGGAGGAAACACATGAAAAGGCCCCTGACCTGCCTGAGAAGCTGAGATACATGAGCAGAGGCAGAGGCGAGCGGAGAGCGTGATCATCCATCCATCCATCCATCCATCAGTCGAGTCGAGTGTGCACCAGCCGCCATCGATCGCTGCAACCCCAACCCCAACGCGAGGCACGCGCGCGCGCGGTGGTGAACGGTCACCGCGCCAGCCTGTTCGATCGATCGCCCGCGGCCTCCTTCTCCTCCTCGGCGTGGTGTCCACATCCGCGTACGTACTTTACACATAGGCGGCTGATCCGCGGCTGCCTATATAAGCCACGCCTGTGGAGGCAGCCATCCATCCGTCCATCTCTCTCGCCACTACTCCAGCTCCACCAGCGGAAGAAGAAGAAGAAGATGAGCTTGTTTGGGCGGAGCTCCAGGTAGGAGACGACCTTAATTTGCCTGCTTTTCCTGTTGCTCTTCTGGAAGTAGAGTAGAGTAGATCGATCTGTGCTCCTACATGTATTGACTGTGGGATATCGATGTTGTTGTTGTTGTTGTTGTGCTTGCAGGAGCCAGCTGACGTTCAGGCCCAAGAAGAGCTCCCCTTCCGGGAGCAAGGTACGTGTGTACGAGATAGTTTCCAATTCTTGTTCGTTTTTTCGTCGGCTTAATTAATTTCTCCGAGTTCTTGCATGGGAGATATATATGTCACATAGAGCATCAGGGATCAACGAGTAATTAGGGGATGGGATGATACGACGATTTACCGTTGATACAGCTATCCACATCAGGTGCTAGCTTTCCATGATCTTAGGCTAACCAAGTAAAGGGTGAAGCCGTGTTTTTTTCTTTTTTTTTTTTTAAAAAAAAAGATGGGATGAGATGAGATGGGAGATGAAAGGGTTTTAGTTTTACCAAATGGCTCAGTTTCATATTGTCCCTTTATTTATCCGTCTTCTTTTTTAAAAAAAATCGTCTTTTTTTTTAAAAAACAATAACTATGTTATGAAAATATCAAAGTAGAGGCACCGATTTTCTATCTGTTTTTAAGCTAAAACTCTATAGGTGACAGAGTTATGTTTAAACACACACCACCCATGCATATAAATAGATTTGCATGTAGCATAATTCTGACTGCGGCGACATGTTGTCGTTAGGTACTATGTAACTAGCTAAGAATGTCGATATATCTTTTAATAAAAAAATCTATATATTTATTTATTTATTAAAAAAGTTTTTAAAAACCAAAACAAATCTCTTGTTCCCTTGTGGGTAGTTGGCTAGCTTTTTTGTAACGCCAAAGTTGTTCATGCATGGTGGCATGCACAATGGCTGAAATGGACACATCTAGGAAAGGTTCGATCCACTCAAGAGTACTTATTAAATTATGTGTAAAGTGTATTTGGTCCGGGGTTTAGCTTTTTGCGTGCTCAGTTCTGAAACTGTTAAGTGTTTCAGTTTCCAACAAATTAAACGCGATGCTTGCTTGCAGGGCTTGCCGCTGAAGAAGCACATCGACGCCACCCTGGGCAGCGGAAACCTGCGAGAGGCGGTCCGTCTGCCAATTGGAGAAGATCTCAACGAATGGCTCGCTGTCAACAGTAAGCTACCATCTCAACTAGTACCAATTTCATCATAACCTCTGATGTAATGATCTGGGGATCCTGTTCTAACTTCTAACTGTTGTACTTCTATATGGTAGGAGAAAGTATATATGTTAGTCTCTCAAGAATATGGGTCATTGCTTCTTTCATTCAGATCTAAATAAATAAATATGAAAACCATGTAAAGAAAAGTAAACATGATGTCATATAATAGGGCACAAACATGCAAAATTAAATTAGAGTTACACAAAGAGAACACACGAGAACAACAAAACCAGATTGTGAATAGTGCAATCATATTCATACTTATTGAATTTGTTGTTTCTGTGTGCCCTTCTGTAGCTCTAATTTGGCCTTGTATGACTGTGCAATGATAAGTGATCCAACAATCTATTTTGCTGAATGTTTTTAATGTTTTTAACTATTTAAATTGAATGCAAGAAAAGATGGCACGTTTTAGAGGGCTTAAAGTCCACTTCTTTTATCTAGTAAGAGAGAGAGTATATAAAGCTCTGAAGAATATGTCCTTGTTTCTTTCATAGTTTCATTCCAATCTAAATAATTGTGAAAACAATCTAAAAAATGCATAATATTAAATAAACATGAAGAATTAAATTCAAGCTACAGAAGGAGAACAGACAAACAACAAATTAAATAAGACTACGAAAGGTGCCGTGACATTCGGAATTGAATTTGTTGTTCTTGTGTGCCCTTCTATGGCTCGAATCTGACCGTGCATGTAGGTGAAACAACAAGATTGATGCATTTTATTAAATACTTTTAACTAGCATGGTGGCCCGCGCAGATTGCGTGCCTAACATCATTATATTTTCCCTCATAAAATAGCATATATGTTTTCTCATTATATTATTAAAATATATTACAATGACAACATAATTTTAAATTTTGCAATAACTTTACGAAACTACTAATGTGTAATATTCATATTGTATTTTATATACGTGTTAGTTATTAATTTTTTTAATATCAAATTTTAGTTATTTGTAAATTATATATATTCCTATATGGACTCTAGACTTGTCTTTTAATATTTTTTTAATTCTGATTTTTTATTATTTCTAATTGTATTTCTATGTAGACTCTAAACTCATCTTTCAATATTCTTTAATTTTTAATTTCAAATTTCAGTTACTTCTAAATTGTATTTCTATATTGACTTTAAACTTTTCTTCCCATGTTTTTCTTAATTTCGAATTTTAGTTACTTTTTCTTCGATTAATGTGAGAACTTCTAGGTCATGAGAGCGAACGTGGAGGCTCCTTTTATTCCGAATTTTAGTTAGTTTTAAATTCCTATATGGATTATGGACTCTATACTCTATTTCTAATATTCCTTATTTTTAGATTCCGAATTTCTTTTTTTTCTTAATTGTATTTCTATATGGACTCTATACTCTACTTCTCATATTCCTTATTTTTAATTCTGAATTTCTATTATTTCCTAATTGTATTTCTATATGGACTCTAGTCTCCTCTTCTAATATTCCTTATTTTTAATTCCGAATTTCAGTTATTTCCTAATTGTATTTCTATATGGACTCTAATCTACTCTTCTAATATTCCTTATTTTTTAATTCCGAATTTTAACAATTTCTGAATTGTATTTCTATATGGACTCTAGTCTCCTCTTCTAATATTCCTTATTTTGTAATTCCAAATTTCAGCTATTTCTAAATTGTATTTCTATATGGACTCTGTTTTTTCTTTTTCTCTGATTAATGTGAGAATTTCTAGATCATGAGAGCGAAAGTGGAGGTTCCTTTTTATTCCAAATTATAGTTAGTTTTAAATTTCTATATGGACTCTATACTCTACTTCTAATATTCCTTATTTTTTAATTCTGAATTTCTATTTTTTTCTTAAATGTATTTCTATATGGACTCTATACTCTACTTCTAATATTCCTTATTTTTAATTCCGAATTTCTATTATTTCCTAATTGTATTTCTATATGGACTCTATACTCTACTTCTAATATTCCTTAATTTAATTCCGAATTTCAGTTATTTCCTAATTGTATTTCTATATGGACTCTAGTCTCCTCTTCTAATATTCCTTATTTTTTAATTCCGAATTTCAACTATTTCTAAATTGTATTTCTATATGGACTCTAGTCTCCTATTCTAATATTCCTTATTTTTAATTCCGAATTTCAGCTATTTTTAAATTGTATTTCTATATGGATTCTGCTTTTTCTTTTTCTCCGATTAATGTGAGAATTTCTAGGCCATGAGAGCGTACGTGGAGGCTCCTTTTTCTATTCCTTTAATAATATAATAGATTATTTTAGCTATTTAAATCGAATGGAAGAAAGGCTGGCAGTATGGCACGTATCATTGAGAGCTTTATCACTTCCTATACGTAGCAGGAACTTGCTAGTCTCTGATTGTGAAGCAACATGCAGTCAAGTTGTCATGTGTAGTTCACTTTTCTGGACTGTTCTTATTTGACATTTTTAGTCGGTGATTTGAGATATTTTACGATATTATCTTGAGGTACCTAAATTTTTCACTACAAAATTTTATATTTTAAGATAATTACTAGTATATAGAGATATTAAATTTTACATTAGAAAATATGGTAGTATCTTATCAAAGAACAGTAAAATCAGTCGTGACTTGACGCACTAGAAATATAAGGGCAAGTGCAATGTTAGTTGCCGACTTCAGCAATATTGTGGGCCAAGGGGTCAGATGGTATTAAACCATCGCACCCTTCACATTGTTTATGCGTGTTGGAGAGGAATAAGGTGGGCCCAGCTAAAAAAAAATCACCGATAGTAAAATTCCCATGACTGCTGCGTGACTCCTTCCCGCGAGTTCTGTCAGAAACACTGTACAAATAATATTGTTTATCTCTTGTTCATCGGTAGTAGCTGTATGACCAGATTTTAACTTTTTGCCACTCTCACAATGCTTCCTACCGGGTAGGAAGAGAGCATGTATTGCTTATTACCGGCTAAAAAGCCAACAATGTGGATGCCCTAATTGCACTGCTGTTTTAACATGTACTCTCTGAATTCTGATGTCCTCTATCTGCAGCCGTAGACTTCTTCAACCAAGTGAACTTTCTGTACGGAACCCTGATGGAGTTCTGCACTTCATCTACCTGCCCGATCATGTCTGCCGGACCAAAGTATGTAGATATCACTTCTAATCTTTTCACTCCTACAAATCCAGCGAACCAACATACTCCCTCCATTCCAAAATATTTGACGCCGTTGACTTTTTTAAAAATGTTTGACCGTTCGTCTTATTCAAAAAAATTTAAGTAATTGTTAATTCTTTTTCTATCATTTGATTTATTGTTAAATATACTTTTATGTATACATATAGTTTTACACATATCACAAAAGTTTTTGAATAAAGTGAACGGTCAAACATGTTTAAAAAAGTCAACGGTGTCAAACATTTACGGCTTGTTTGTTAACTCGAGGGAAGGGGATTGGGAGTTTACATGAGGGAATTGATGATGAGATTAAGATGAGAATTTAATTTTTAATCCCAATATCTCGTTTGGTAGAGGTGATGGAAATTGATAGGGAGTTTAGTTGAAGATTAGGTCAATAATAAAAACGGATGGCTGAGATTTGCTTAGACAAAGTAAAGAAGGAATTCCCTCCCAATTACCTGCTCCTACCCAGGTATTGAAAAGGAGGGAGTTCCTTCCTTAGTTCCCCATCCCCATCCCACCTAAATTCCCATGTCTCCCAACCAAACAAAACACTTAATAGCCTCATCCCTTTAAACTCCCAATCCCTCCTAAAAACTCCCTCCAACCAAACGGGCCATTAGGGAAGGAGGGAGTATTACACAAGAATATTTCTGAATCAGAAATCGATCATGTACTGTTTCAGATGTATTCTCTGAAATAACTGAGAACTAAGGAACGAAAACAATTTTTGTTGACAAATGCAGGTACGAGTACAGGTGGGCTGATGGAATGAAGGTGAAGAAGCCAGTTCAAGTGTCTGCTCCAAAGTACGTGGAGTACCTGATGGATTGGGTGGAGAGCCAGCTTGATGATGAGGCCATTTTCCCTCAAAAGATTGGTAATTAAGCTAATCTCTGACTGAGAATGATCAATCGTTAATTAATTTGTTCGTTGCAGCACCACACTACAGTAGCAGATTAGTTAAGCTGATGATGAGTTTTGATGGAGAAATCGTCAATCAATTAATGTAACTGACTAAATTGCAGGGGCTCCCTTCCCTCAAAACTTTCGCGAGGTGATCAGGACCATCTTCAAGCGGCTCTTCAGGGTGTACTCCCACATGTACCACTCGCATTTTCAGATGATCCTCAAGCTCAAGGAGGAGGCCCATCTCAGCACTTGCTTCAAGCACTTTGTGCTCTTCACTTGGGTAATTAATTCTTCTTCTTCCTCTTCTTCTCTCTCTCTCTCTCAGAGATCTTGAGGGAATGATATTAATGATAATCCTTATATGTGCAATTTTTTTTCAAAAGGAACAAAGATGGGAACAAATGCATTATGTCTGCCTAAGATTGAAGGAACACCACATATGAGCCACATGTTTTTTTTAATGGAATATTGGAATGCAAAAATAAAGGAATGTCTTTGGTGCAATCATTCAAATGCCTTTCCTAATTTGTTTGAATCAGTTTAGTTCTTTAGCAGTTGTGATCCATCATTCTGCATGCAAAGTCAACTTTTGTTCTTAAGAACCATCTTTGTAAAAATTAAGGAGTTGTTGGGGACACACAAGCATTCCATTTGCTGCATTATTTGTTCCCTATGAGGCTATGATGATGTTTTTAGTTTGATCTCAACCTCCTTTTTAAATACTTGCATTTAGTTGTAAAATGAGGGTCGAATCACATAAAACAAGGCATGCACATTTGTCCATCAAATCTTGCTGTAGCTCAGTGTTGAATTAATTGAATCTTTTCATCTTAGGCTAACTGCTATGCTTCACAATTTTTTACTTGCAGGAATTCCATTTGATCGACAGGGCAGAGCTGGCTCCTCTCAACGAGTTGATCGAGCCGATAGTGTTTCGGTATTTTTAAGAGCGCTCCAACAACTGATGAGGCAAACTTCAGAGAAACCTTGTTGTTTTTTGTATGTCTCTGTTGGCCCGCAGGATTAATTTGCAGCCCATTTTCCCCTTTTCGTTTCCTTTCAAATTTGATGAATTTGGATGAACAGTCCGATTCATCTCCATTTTGGGAGTAGGTTAATTGGTGCTGTTGTACTCAGTTCAGAAGTACTAATCTGCAGTTGCTTTTTGTTGCAATCTGTTGTGATTAGTTCAAATGAAATCTTGGGTTTCGGCGCCTTTCTAAATTCTAATCATGTCCTGATCGTGGGCTTGGACCAATGGGCCATCAGTTAGTTCCTTTCTGAATAATATCATTGATGACGTTGATGTAATTAGACCTCGTTGTAGCCCATTTCGTGTTGTGAATGCAGGCCCAAATGGATAACAAAAATGAGAGAAAAAAAAGTACATCAACAAGATAGGTGGATTAGAAAGACAGATTAATTTGTTACAGGATTTACTTGAAAGAACGAGATAGCAACAAATGGATAGCCATGTTTTTTGCAAACTTGTTACAGGATTATGTAAAATCAAAGGTGTTTTTGATTATTACTCTGTGATGAATAATTGGGCATTGGAGATTATTGGTTTTGTTATTTGGAATTTATTCACGAAGTGGTTTTGGAGATGATTGGATTTACAGGTGAATCACAGGTTCTATTATTTTATGTGACCGGTCAGACTGGGCAGGTGTTGCCAGTCAGACCGGCGGTATATGCGCGGTCAGACCGGCAAGCCCGCGGTCTGACCGGCCGACGCTGTGTCGGTTTCGGTTTCGGGTTGTTTGTTTGGATATCCGTGATTGTTTCATGATTATGGCTTCTAGATGGATACTATACGTATGTAATACTGTTGTTTGCTACTAATGAGTCAAGTTGGAGATAGCTTGGTCTTGGAATATGGTTTCTTTGTTTATTTCATGTGTAGGTGACTCGATGCCTCAGGAGAGTATTTGCGGTGATGGACCGGGAGTCGGCTTGGGGTTAAGACGACGTCCGTGGTGGTCAGAGATCATGCGGGATACTTAGGATAGAGTTGATGCACGTGGTTGATGGAGATTCCATATGGCATACGATGGAGGTATTGTGTGCGTGTGGGACGCGGAGTCGAATTTGGAAGGAGTCCAAATTTGGTACGATTGGTTATGTAAAGTTTGTTTCTTGTACTAGAGGGTTTCCTAAGGTGTTTAGGACTCTTAGTATGAGTTTGGTTCATGGCTTTAGGCTGCCTACCTCATGTATAAATAGAGGGGGAGCGTGAGGCTTCCCGTTATCGCTTTAGAGAGCAATTGTCACACCCCAATCTGGTACCGCCGTACAATGGCACCTGACTGGAGCGTGTCGTAGGAAAAACGGCGCGAACCGCTTCCAACGAAACCGCGATCTCAGTACCAGTCCCAGGACATAGCGCTGGTACCCACGGTGACAAATTTGAATCATTGCAAATCCTTAACATAAATAGAGGACTTATTTACCTTAACTTAGGTTGCAGCTCAGAACAACCCGAGAATGCAACCGACGACGCTGACGAGGAAACACCAACAGCAGCAGCAGCAGCGGAACCAACGAACGAACACCCAACACCACAGGCGACGGCTGGGAACCAGGACGAAACCCTAATCTTCACTTCACTTTATCTTCTCTTCAGGGCGGAGGAACTATATATATATATTTATATAGAGCAAGGGTGAGTACTTTCGTACTCAGCAAGTCACGGGAACTTAGGTGTTTAATGCAAGCTTGGAAGAGAGGCAAGGTTGTTTTGCAAATCTTTTGTTTGAAATCATTTTGAAATCACTAAGTGATTTATTTCTTTTTAAGTTTGGGTCGAAAAGAGACTTGCGTCTCAAATCGACTTAAGAGATGCTTTTCAACAGCTCAATTGGTAATGTACCGACCTCCTGAGTCAGATCATTACTTCTCGGCTCCCAGAGCCATTTCACTTGATTAAGCGGCTCCCAGAGCCTTATTCGTTTTTGCGGACTCCCAGAGTCCAGCTGCCCAGCAGCAAAGCAATCCGCTTCCACTCGGGAAGCCTAGTCTATGATGCCCACAGACATCCCGAATCACACAGATTCGTTTCTAACCACTTAGGTCATCCATCTGCCACATAAGCTGATTCTGGTTACGATTCCCACACCACAACAACTTTTCACAAAGCACAGGCAAACAAATCTACGCAACGGGAATCACCTCACATCCGCCCATGACCGTGGGCACGGCTGTTCGAACAGTTAGTTAACCTCTGCAGAGGGGTACACTTTACCCACAAGACACGAACTTACTCCAGACACTGGCTGGTCCACCCGGCTCCCCTTCCCCCTCTCTCTCCCTGCGCCCCTCTCTTGGGCCGCCTCCCCGTAGCCCGTGCCGGCCTAATAAGATCGGCCTAGCCGCGCAAATCCTCTCGGGCCGCGCCAAGTCGCTCGAGAAAGTCTGATTCCTATCCCTCCTTCCTTTTCTTATCCAAAGGGATTAATAAATCCTTTTCCCTTTTTCATAAATCAATTCCTTATTCCAAAAATTCCATGAATCATTTCCTTTGGTCCCGCACGTCAGTGACCATCAATAATATTCTTGAGAATATTATTCCATAAACCATTTCTCGTGTTCTAGAAAAATCCAATAAATCATTTCCTTGTCCAGAAATTCCAGTTAAGATTCCAAAATTCATATCTCTCGATCCGTTCGTCCGATTGACTTCATTCCACTTCCAGTATTTCCGTAAAATTGAGATCTATTTAATGGCACTATTATTTAGTCTAAATAGGATCTTTCTTGTGGTCTTTTGTTTAGGTTTTTGATTGTTTGTGTATAGTTGCGGTTACCGGATTTTCGTCGATCGCGGGTTTTCTCGAAGATTCGTGAAGCTCCGTGAAGACCTTGAGCTAGGCAAGTCACCCTTTGACCAATTGCTCCTATAATTGAAAAATCATTATTATTTTGTTTGCAACTTGCATTATTAGAATCACACACTTAACTTGCTTGGCCTCGGTTTGCATGCTAAACCGACGGACCTACCCAGTAGTCGCACTACTTCCTGTAGGCTGACATACCCTGATCCCTTGTCGCTCCACCATTGTGGTACTTCGGTATCCGTGCTCTCTAAGCGCGTATACCAATTATCCCACATACACCGTTGTTTGTCAAAAATTTGGAAAATGGGTTTGAGAAGCCTTGAAAACCCGACATGTGGTGTCGGTGTGTTTGAAAATAAAATGAATTGTGAAAACTCGCGATGCGGGGGTTGTGCCTATGTGGCACTGTCCCGTATTCGCGTATAAGGACCGATTCCTGTGGGAAACTCATCGAACATAATCAAAGTGCAACCACAAGGTGGAATGGGACACGCTGGCTAAGTAACTAGTCTGTTCAGGGAAACCTCGCATGCCAATAGTTGGGAACGCCGGGGCGGGGTCGGACAAACCGGGTTCCTGGTAAGGCAAGGACGAGAAGCTTGCTCACTTACCGATCAAGGTGGTTGGAGTTGATTTGTGAATGTCTAAAATGGCCTATATTTATGTGAGGATTTGATCCTTCTATGTGGCATGAGGTATCCCTGGGTCGGCTTGGAAAAGGCTTTGTCGCGAACCTCTGACACCGGCCAGTGTCTGGAGTAAGTTCGTGTCTTGTGGGTAAAGTGTACCCCTCTGCAGAGGTTAACTAACTGTTTGAACAGCCATGCCCACGGTCATGGGCGGATGTGAGGTGGTTCCCATTGCGTAGATTTGTTTGCATGTGCTTTGTGAAAAGTTGTTGTGGTATGGGAATCGTAACCAGAATCAGCCTATGTGGCAGATGGATGAACTGAGTGGTCAGAAACGAATCTGTGTGATTCGGGATGTTTGCGGGCATCATAGACTAGGTTTCCCGAGTGGAAACGGATTGCTTTGCTGCTGGGCAGCTGGACTCTGGGAGTCCGCAAAAACGAATATGGCTCTGGGAGCCGCTTAATCAAGTGAAATGGCTCTGGGAGCCGAGAAGTAATGATCTGACCCGGGAGGTCGGTACATTTCCAATTGAGCTGTTGAAAAGCATCTCTTAAGTCGATTTGAGACGCAAGTCTCTTTTCGACCCAAACTTAAAAAGAAATAAATCACTTAGTGATTTCAAAATGATTTCAAACAAAAGATTTGCAAAACAACCTTGCCTCTCTTCCAAGCTTGCATTAAACACCTAAGTTCCCGTGACTTGCTGAGTACGAAAGTACTCACCCTTGCTCTATATAAATATATATAGTTCCTCCGCCCTGAAGAGAAGATAAAGTGAAGTGAAGATTAGGGTTTCGTCCTGGTTCCCAGCCGTCGCCTGTGGTGTTGGGTGTTCGTTCGTTGGTTCCGCTGCTGCTGCTGTTGTTGGTGTTTCCTCGTCAGCGTCGTCGGTTGCATTCTCGGGCTGTTCTGAGCTGCAAGCTAAGTTAAGGTAAATAAGTCCTCTATTTATGTTAAGGATTTGCAATGATTCAAATTTGTCACTGTGGGTACCAGCGCTATGTCCTGGGACTGGTACTGAGATTGCGGTTTCGTATGAAGCGGTTCGCGCTGTTTTTCCTACGACATGCTCCAGTCAGGTGCCGTTGTACGGCGGTACCAGATTGGGGTGTGACAGCAATTGAGTTGAGTTTTGAGTTAGGGTTTCGAGTTTAGTCGAAATTTTTGTAAGGAGTGCTATTGGTGCACTTTGTAAACACAGAGAGAATCAATAAAGTTGTCATCTAGTTTAAGAGTTCTTCGTTTTGTGTTTCACCAGGTTTCGGTGGTCTAACCGGCGGCATCGCGGTGGTCCGACCGGCGGGCACACAGCGGTCAGACCGGCTTCGGCGACATGAGGCAGCGACGAATTTTGGCGGTTAGACCGGTAGATCCACACCGGTCAGACCGGCGGCTACGCTTCGGTCAGACCGGCTAATCTACTCCGATTAGACCGATCTCATCGAAATTGAGGGTAACTTTTATTTCCGCAAAAAGTTTTCGGTTTTCGGGTATACCAACCATTCACCCCCCCTCTGGTTGGCTTAGTTCTTGTGTTTCGATCCTACAGGTGGTATCAGAGCCTTGTTTTCTTCTTTGGATTTTTATCGATCTAGAGTTTTTTTTTGCCATGGCTACTCCTACTAGGTTTTCAACTAAGCCTAATGTTTTCGACGGAACGGATTTTTCTCATTGGTATAGTAAGATGCAATCTTATATTATGGCTGAAGATTATGATATTTGGAGAAAAGTTTCTTATCCTTATGTGATTCCTGAAGAGATTAATACTGCTGCTTTAAAAACTGAGTTTGAACAAAATTGCAAAGCTCGCAATATTCTTTTGAGTGGGATTTCTCGTTCGGATTATGATCGTGTTGCTCATCTTCGAACTGCTCATGAGATATGGAATGCTTTGAGTAATTTTCATCAAGGAACTAATAACATTAAAGAACTTCGTCGAGATCTTT